AGACGACGGACGAGCTGCTCGACTTGTTGGGCCAAGTCCTGTCCATCTGTGCCCAGTTCGGACTCAAGTTGAGCCCGAAGAAGTGTCATTTCTTTCTGCGCGAGGCAGAATGGTGTGGCAAGGTGATTTCGGCCGATGGAATCACCCATTCACCAAGCCGGATTCAATGACTCGTCGATTTGTCACCGCCGACGACCGCGGCAGACCTCCAGCAGTTTGTGCGTGCCACCAACTGGATGCGCGCGAGCATCCCCGGCTACAATCAGCTGGTGGATCCGTTGCGACTTCGGCTCGACGTGGCCACCAAAGCAGCCGGAAGCTGCAAGAAAACGGCGTTAGTGCGTGTTGCACTCCCTGCCGTGGGATGGTCGTCCGACCATCTCAAGTGTTTCAACGATGTGAAACACGCGTTGGCGCATGTGGTGCCCCTGTCGCACCCGCCAGAAGACATGACGGTCTGCGTCTTCACGGACGCCAGTGACCTGTTTTGGGGTGCGGTCGCCACACAAGTACCGCCAGCGGACCTCGACTTGCCTCTCGAAGACCAGCGGCACCAGCCGCTTGCGTTCATCAGTAGGTCGTTTTCTGGGGCGAGTGTGAGTTGGCTCATCGTGGAGAAGGAGGCCTATGCCGTGGTCGAGTCGTGCAAGAGACTCGACTACCTGGTCGTACGCCCGGGTGGCTTACAGGCTAGAACGCCAACATGGCCAAGTACCAGGCCGACAAGCTGCAGCGATGGTCGCTCGTGATGTCGACTTTCCCGTACACCATTGAGTGCGTCTCGGGGGACGCGAATGTATGGGGTGACTTCCTGAGCCGATGGAGTTCGGCTCCGACGGATCAACCAGTGGCGAATGTTCGTAAGTTGATCCATGTGGTGTCGCCCCTGTGGATTTCGAGTGGCCAACAGCCGCTACGATCAGCGGCATCCAACTTTCAACCATGGAAGGGGGAGGGACCCCCCCCAAACGGCATGGATTGGGACGAAGAGTCCCATTTTTACGTGGACCCAGACGGACGAATCTGGATCCCAGACGATGCTGTGGACCTACAGCAGCGGATTTGTGTGATCGCTCACCAAGGAGCCAGCGGTCACCGTTGCATCGCAGCGATGACCAAGTCGGTGTCCAACAAGTTTGTGTGGACGACGCTTCACACGGACGTCGACGCGTTCGTGCGCGCCTGTTTGCACTGCCTGTGCATTGACGAAGAGATGGTTCCCTGACCATTGGGTTCGGCGCTTTACGCGGAGAAGCCGAACGAGCTCATCCATTTCGACTGTTTGTCGATGCCCGTGGCCAAGTCTGGCCAAAAACAAGTGCTTGTCGTGAAGGACGACATGAGTGGCTTTGTGCAGCAGAGTCCGCTGACGCCGCCGCGAACGCTCAGTGCCTGATGACGTGGTTTACCACGTTCGGCTGCGTTGACACATGGTGTCAGATGGCAGGTCTAACCTTAAGAACGAAGAGATCGAGAAGGTGCGGAAGTTGGTGGGTGTCCACCATCACATCACGACAGCCTACAGTCCTTTGGTGAACGGGACTGTAGAAGTAGTCAACCGACTAGTGCTGCGCGCCATGAAGGCGCTGCTCAGCGAAATGAAGCTGAACGCGGACGAATTGCCGCATGTGTTGCCCCTCGTTCAAGGCGCCCTCAACCATCAGCCGGCGGACGGCTGGGACGAATTGCGCCCGTGATAGCGTTTACCAGCCTGCCAGCCAAGACCCCGCTGGCAGGATTTGTCCACCCGACATCCAAGGAAGTTTACGTCGCGTACTGACTTGGCGCCGCCCGTCAGAAACATGTGACGGACCTCCAAGTGACGCTAGAAGAAATGCATCGCAACATGGAGGTGCGAAGCGACAAATTGCGTCTGCAAGCGCGTGCACGCCGCAAGCGGAAATCCCAAGTCAACTTTGCGGGTTTTTCGGTCGGCGATTTTGTGCCTGTCGGATCGGTCGTCAACCGTCTGACAAAATTGGCCCTGCATTGGTGCGGAAAATTTGAAGGCGAAAATGTTCTTGTATGACAACATCGAGTACTGGAGTACATATCCACGATGTTGCAATAAAATATCATAGAGTGGTGGGCAAGTTACCACAGGAATACAGTTAAATAATTGAGGTAATCTATTTTTCGCTGAGTTGTCAAAAGATAACCTATTTTTCAAACATGCGCAAGGAGGAATAAATAGAATATGCCTTTGAAAGGCCCTGCTTGGCTGGCAACGTTCGACAATTTTTCAAATGACATGAGATAGATTCATGTTGAACTGTATGGATTTATATTTAGTACAATTGATTGGTCAATGATCACTCTTACGTGCTCTAGGTATGGTGCACTTATCTAGAACCTTCCAACTGGCCAAATTTGGACGAGAAAATATATTTATTATATATGAATATATTGAATAATA